GTGTCTCATTTGGATCCTTACTTTTTCGTTCTACGTTTTCTTGAACCAATTCAAAACTGATTACCAAATTCAAACACGTTATGGAAACAAAACCAAAAATAAGTCCATATTTTAGGTATTATTTAAGAAATACAATTGTAGCAACTTGTAGGAAGAAACATGCTGTTGTTCACGAAACCAAGGAAACAACCCAGTTTTACAATTAAAAGATTGATACGCTTCACTAAATTAACAATAAAAATAATCTACCGGCATTAATTGTCTAGATATATAGAAAGTAAATTTAGTTATGTACATTTTTTTTTTTGAGAAAGTACAGTAAATTATTGTGATATTTAGAACCGTCTTCTCAAAGTAGCTAGCAATAAGGAGAGTAAATTAACACATTAATAAGATAATGTACACCTTAACAGGGGACGCAAATTGATTTGGTAACCTGTGCTTCTTTCGTAGTTACAACAACAACGACGACCCAGTAAAATCTCACTAGTGGGGTCTGAGAAGGATAGTGTGTACGCAGACCTTACCCCTACCCCAAGGAGTAGAGAGGCTGCTACTTTCGTAGTTGTTAAGCATAATTATCATTTTGGAAAGGAGCACATATGGATTCAACCAACTTCTTTTAGGGCATTGTATGAATTTCCAATTGCAAGTAGTTCTATTTTAGAGTTAAAAAAAAAAAACGCTCACTGTTATATAGTGTCAACCATCTATGGACATTTCAGCAAAATTTTTTGGTTTTGGCTGAGTAAAACTTACCCACAGTATTAACACCAAATCATTGAATATATATGTTATATATCTTATACACAATTCTACGTTTTAACCATAATTAGTTAATGCATATTCTTACTTCAATATACTATCACTTAACCATAACTAACTAATACAGTTTGATGTGAAGAACTGTGTGGTAATTTCTTCTTCAGTGAAGATACATCATATAGGTAATTAATGTGTCATTATCAAGGAAATATTATGTTGTAAATACTCGTATTGTGTGGCAAAAGTTATGATTAATAGAAACTCTGTGACCTCTCGTCTTTCTCTTTCTCTTATGCCATTTTAGAACTCGAGCTTCTTGGTAAAGCTTCTTCCCAGCACCCCCAAACCTCGAACTCATATTTGAATTTCTGCATTTGGGTTAACATTATAAGAAGATGTGAGTAAACAAGTTTTTGCTGGATCATTCTATCTTTAAATTTATTTTTTTATGATTTTTTGCATTTTCTATTAGTCGTTACATAAATTCACATTTCTATATTTACCTACTCAATCGCATGAACTTTGATAATGGTGACACATTGTTAGGGTCTAGGTATTATCAACTCACAATGAGAAGAGGCACAGGTTGAAATGGCAGGGGGCCAATTTGGAATGTATGATCTTTTTCTTTTTTGTTTTAGTTAAAGCCAATCACCCAGGTTGTCACCTCCTGGGGTGTTGGGGGGTTTGGCTAGACCTCTACTATGTCTATTCCCATAAAAAAAATAGCGTAAGTACAAAGGAAGAGGACATGGACCTAATCTCCAGATGTAATACAAGATTAACCTAAGTCAATCTTCAAATACATGAGAGGTTAACTACTGTACGTATACCTCTCATGTTCTACAGTATATGGTTCAACTTACAAAAACATTAGCTTTGTCATACCTAGTTCTAAAACTAGGAAGTTGCCACTTATCAAGTTCAAAAGGTCATTTTACATTTCCTGGTAATTATTGGAAAGACTAGAAGAAGGCAGTAATTATTGGAAAGAGTAGAAGAAGGCAGTGATTCCACCAGTCGTAATATTTTTGGCCAACATATCAGCCACTTGATTAGCTTCTCTATAACAGTGCGAAATATTTACTTCTGTTTGGCTCATCATATCTGCATTCTCTTTATTGAGTCTCTTCATGTTGAGATTGTTGATGCTTCTATCTAAGAGCATATTGACAACTATTCGTGAGTCGGTCTCCAGATAGATGTCATTATACCCTCGCTGTATGCACCACTGTATACCCATCTTCGCAGCCATGGCTTCAGTGATATTGTTTGCTCTGAACTGGTAAAGAAAATGCCATAATCCAATTTTCTTGGTCGTTCCTTACGGAACCTCCTATACCGTCTCTTTCGGTTCCTTTTACAAAGCTTCCATCAGTGTTGACTTTAATTTTTCCAGTGGGAGGCTTCTGCCAAATAACTTGTTTCACTATGGGAGTTGGTCTCCATAGCTCTACTTTTTCGCAAAAAATAGGCCAAGTCCCTGCTCTATTGCAACTGGGGAAGGCGAAGGCCATATTCAAGGCTGCCTGTATGGTCTAGCTTATTTGTTGCTCCATTTTCCTCACCAAGAATCTTTTTTGTTCTCCATATCTGCTCGAACACCAACTTCTCCATATTTCCAAGCATATTGCTAACAATACAAAATAGAGTATAAATTTGTGTATATAGTTCTTTGCCTGTACTTCCCACCACTTTTTGATGATGCTTCTAATATTCCAGCTTTCATGCTTGATTCCCAAAGGTGCACCGAAGATATTTCAGAGATATTGAGCGGCATCAACCTCAACGAAGACACGTTGGATTGTGTCTTCTCTCGGATTATTACAGCATCTGCATATAGAAACAATATGGTTTCCAAATTTAGTAATAATCTCATCAAAAGGAAGCTTACCAAGGTAAAGTCTCCAGGCCAAAAATAAAATTTTGAAGGAAATGTTGTTGAGCCACATGTTATTTAAAGCTACATTCTTTGGCTTCTTGTTCCTAATTAGTTTCCAAGCACTTTTGTTGGAGTAATAACCGTCTGTAGAAGCATCCCAAACAGCATAGTCTTCTTTGTTTTGGTTTCCAATTTCTATTTCACTGATTAGAGTAGCTGTCTGCTCATTGAGCTTACTTTTCAATTTCTCCATGTCCCATTTGCTCTCTATGATGATCTCCCTTACTATTGTAGTCTTACTCTTTCTTCTATCTGGAAATTGTTTGGCTAGAGCTCCTTTTTCGGACCAATTGTCCCACCAACAACTACATTTTCCTTCATTAATTTTCCATATCATGTTGTTTTCCGCCTTTTCCCTCATTTGAGTCACGTGTTTCCAAGCATGTGAGTTCCTTGAGGTCCAAACTTTGGCCATCTGGGTGAGCTCTAATACAATATTTAGATCTCAAGTAAGTAGCCCACAGATAGTTTTGAGTTCTAAATCTCCACAACTTTTTCATAGCTAAAGTGTTGCTAATATCTTCTATGGATCTCATGCCAATACCACTTTCATCTTTTAGTAGACATAAATTCTTCCAAGATCTCCAATGATACTTATTTTTATCCCCATGAGTGCCCCAAAAGAACTTGGCAAAGTATTTTTCAATCAATTTCACCGTACCCTTTGGAGGGCTCATAGCAGAAAGAGTGTATATTGGCAATGATTGAAGTACACCTTTGATGAGTATAATTGTGCCGCCACATGAAAGCATCATGCCTTTCCATCCATTCAACCTTTTGAAAATATTGGTGACCATGAAGTAAAAATGAGAGAGTTTCTTCCTCCTTACATACAAAGAGCATCCCAGATAATTGAAGGGAAAGTTTTTCTCCATGAAACCTGTTACTTCCCTCATTCAATTAATTCTCTGTGCTCTAGCTTTAGGATCTGTGAGGAAGAAATTTTATCATTATTCACTTTTTGCCCTGAAGCTTTTTCATAGTTGCGAATTTATTCATGATCAGCCTCACTGACTAGTTATTCCCTCCACCCGAAGATCACTATATCATCTGCATAGGCTGAATGGTTAATTTTATGGCCCCTCTGTTCCATGTAGAAAGGTGTGAAATCTGGATCAGAGTGAAGCTGGTTAAGGGAGCTGAAAAGGACTTCAGTTGGTATTATGAATAGAGATGGGGAGAGAGGGTCCCCTATTTTAAGCCCCTGAGATGAGGTAAGAAAAGCCCCTCCTTGTGTCGTTGATGACTATTGAGTACCATGCGTCTGAGATTAGTCTCCGGATAATATCAATCCATACCTCTCCAAAGCCAAACTTTCTCATGACTGCATCCAGAAAAGACCAAGACAATCTATCATATGTTTTGGTTATATCTAGCTTAATAACAATGCTACCCCCTCTGTTATCTTCTCCTATACCTTGAATGATCTCTTGAGCCAGCATCATGTTTTCAGTAATGAGCCTACCCCTTACAAAACCACTTTGGTTATCAGAAATTAATTTGGGTAAGAAGGTGTTGAGTCTACTAACAAATATTTTAGAAATGACCTTGGTGGTAAAATTAGTCAAACTGATTGGTCTCAGTTCAGAGAAGTTGGATGAAGACTCAACCTTAGGAACAAGGACTAGGAAAGAGAGGGAGTAGAACTTGGTCAAATTTCTGCCATTAAAGAATGCCTGCACAAAAGCCACAATATCCTCTTTGATAACCTCCCAACAAGTCTATAGAATACCTCACTGAAACCATCTGGACCAGCTGCACTTTGTGCACTGAGGTTGAAAACCGCTTTTCTAACCTCGTGGATGTCTGGAATAGATGTCAGATAATCGTTATCATCAGTTGAGATAGAACTGGGAATACAATACATCAAGGAGTCATTCATGATAGGTGCCTCTAAGTTGAACAATATTTCGAAGTGTTTCACAGCCGCCTTGGCAATCTTTCCATCACCTTAAACCCATCGGTTCCTGTGATTTTTAATTCTTTGTAAGCAAAGCCTTCTTCTTTTGTCTCTGAGCACACTATGGAAATAGCTACTGTTATAATCCCCTTCCTGAAACTACTTGATCTGAGAATTTTCTCTTAGAAGGTTCTCTTGTACACCTAGCCACTATACATATTCTGCATGAGCTTTGTTAAGTTCTTCCATGCTATCTTTAGTGTTTTGATAGAGATACAATTCTTCTAGCTGTTGTACTTTTCCCTCGACCATTGACTCAGATCTCTGCCCAAGGTTTGAAGTTTGCTTTTCAGTCTCCACATGTCATTACCAAAGACCTGCTTGTTCCATGAATTCTGAACCACCTCCTGAAAGTTTTGTTGATGTACCCAAAAGTTCAGGAACCTGAAGTATTTAATAGTATCATGTTGATCACTGTGACACTTCATGAGGAGGGGTCTATGGTCGGACCAGGTTTTCAGTAAGTGTTTAACATAATTATGTTGAAATTTCTAACATCATTGATCGTTGACTAAGATCCTCTCGAGCCTTTTTCATATTCTCTTTCTCGGCCTTCTATTATTACACCAAGTGTATCTAGCACCCACAGAGCCTACATCAATAAGATCACAATCTTAAATTTTAGTGACAAAATCAAAGCTTTTGTAGGCTCTGTGAGATCTACCGCCTAACTTTTCTTCTAGGTCCATTATCACATTAAAATCACCTCCAATGCACCATGGACCACTAACATCACTGCTAATGTTTTCCAAACTCTCCCATAGTCCTCTTTCTGGCAGAGCACTTTGCATTTACAGTTGTGACATGAACATCTTCATTCGTATCATTCCCCTTTATGCATAAAGTAATTTCTTCTTCTTCGGCGGTAACTACCTGAGCCTGATAATTCCAAAAGCACCAAATTTGTCCATTGTCATTTGCTAGGCAGTGTTAAAATCCCAAGAAACTTTTATAACCTTGTATTTTGCTACTGTCAATGAAAGGTTCAAAGACAGCAACAAAGTCATTTTTGTTAATGTTGATGAGATTTTTCAATCTGTGGATGGCCTTCTTAGATCTCACACCCTAATGTTCAAAAATATTGCACTAATCATGGAACTTTTAGGAGTCTTATCTTTTTTTTCTTCCCTCTGAGAGAAGGTGTATGTTATTCTCTTGTTTTCTTTCCTTTCTTTTTCTCTTTGCTTTTCCCTCTTCCATTTGTTGGTCATGTGTCTTTTTTTTTTCATTTCCTCTTGTGGGTTCTCAGAGTTGTCTCTTTTTGAGTCATTCTTTGAATCTGAAGATGTTGAGTCTATTTTTTGTGGGCCTACACTCTCTTATGAATTGTTCGGAAATCCTTCTCTAACTTTCTCATCACAGAATAAGTCCACCACCGATTTAATTGGTGGTTGGTTTCTCACCTCTGTGTCTATACTGCTGAACTGGTAGTGAGAAAATTCTTGATCTGTTTTCCTTGTCTTAAGTATATCTTCTTCATTTTGTTCTCTTCTATCATACATTTCATCTTGCTCATTTTTGTGTCTTGTGGGTTTTGAATTGTCACTCTTCTCTCCTGATTATGTAATTTCCTTTTCGTCCGTTGACATGTTGTTGCCTTGCCTTTCTCCTGGGATAGAATAGTAGATTGTTGCTTGGTATGTAATTGATTTTCAGATTCATCTACTATAATATTATTATTGATGACTTCCTTGGTTCCCCTGTAGTTCATGTTCTGCCTGGCCTTGGAAGAGGTGTCGCTAAGGTCTTCTCTTTTATCCTCTTCAGTATGTGGTTCAACTATAATTTCCAAAAAGTCTTCAACTACTTGATTTCTATGGACCTTTTAATTGTCTTTCTTCACCAAACATTCCTTCAGTTTGCTCTTTCTATGAACCATAGCAGGTTTAAACAACACTATGCTCTTCTTTTTTGGCATTTTCTTCTTTTTCTGATTTCTCCTTTTAGTAGTGGTTTTGTGTTTGATGGTCTGAAATTCTTCATGATCCTGCTCTTGCACCTCAACACCGTTATTTTCTTTCTGCTCTACTGCTTTAGATTCTAACTTTTTTCTTTGTCTATTTCTCGTTGTATTAGGGACTTGCCATTGCCCCGTATTCCCCCCTTCTTGTCCTTCTTTGGTGTTGTTCATAACTTCTTTTTCTTTGCTTGATTCTCCAGATTCTTTTGTTGCCTCTTTCCCTTGAATGTCATGTACTCCATGAGTAGTATTTTCCTTCTCAGCCCTTACTTTGCTTTGATCCTTGTGTCTCCCTCCTGTGTTGTCCTTCTTATTATGTCTCTTAGTTGCTTGTCCTTCCTGTTCTTGACTCTTAGAATCTTTCTCTTTTTGCTTTTCTTTTTCTAAAACTCTGCATTGTATAAGAGATTGGCCAAGAATCCTGCAATTTTACAATATATTGGCACTCCCTCATACTCTAGCTTTTCTGTGAATCCTTTTAAGAGGTTTAACTCATCTTCCTAACCAACCCAGACGGAATTGAGAAGCGGCTTAGTAAGACCAACCTCCACCCTAACTTTTGCCATACTTGGCTTCGTCCCGTAATCAATGGCTGTATCCATCAACAGTGGAACACCAACTGGGCCAAGAACCTATTTCACATAGTACCAAGTATGACAGTGGAATGGTAGTCCTGGTAGGAGAACCCATACTAGTACAATTGGTGATTCCTCCTCCGGCTTAAAGTTCGGAGACAATTTTTGAAGCCACATAACCATACCATCGATTTTAATTGATCGTTTATACCATATAGTTTTACAGTCTTCATCATTGGTGACATCAATAAAAATAGTTTGAAAATCATAGACACCAATTTTAATTCACCTTTAAGCGATACGTTTTTAGCAAAGACCGATCTAATGCGCTTAATGTTTGGTCGAGTTCTCAGAAATTTACCTGTACTTGTGTATTGGCACTCCTCTGCCATCACCCTATAGTAGTCGCTTGTCTTTAAGATGACCACAGGCATTCCATTGTGGGGTGGTAACTCTAGCTTTCACATTTGGGTCCCCAAATATATTTCCTTTGGGTTTTGCAGGAGAAGCTACTGCAGAGGCATAGCCATTTTTCAAAGGAATTACTTCTTCTGGGCTGATGGTAATAGCCGAAGGAGCAAGGTTTTCACTTGGACGCACCGGTAGATGGTAGGTCGACGTCCCCATTCGTTGGAGCTTGAACTCCACTCGCCTAAAGAGGGGAGATAGTGTTACCGTTAAACAGAGGATGTACGGAGAGCTTTGTAAGCTTAGCTTTTAATGTAAATTAAGCAATAAAGTAAACACAATAATATTTACGTGGAAAATCACCTAGTTCAAAAGATGCAAAAACCATGTCATACTATGTAGGATTTTCAACTTCAACTTCACTAGAACAATGAGCCAAATGTTTCGATTATAAATCTGTAACTCAATACTCTCCAGTACTCCTACTTCAGCTATTTAATTAATAAGTTACTCTAACTTGTAAAACAATCACTCACTCCAACTCACTAATTATTTATGACACTTTGAATACAACTCAATTTCCTAAAACACATATACCAAGCAATTTTAGAGAAGAAGTGATGACCTATCTTTATAGACAAACAACTATTGTCATCTAGCAGACCATGAAATTCAAAGATGCTACTAGAAATCAGCTTGGGACTTCTAAAGCTCTTTAGCAATAGTCAAGGATTAAGAGACTTCATGTGCAATAGCTGCCCTTTCGTACTAAGTAAGGTGATTTTTTCTAAACCAACACCTTTTGCACCCTCATTTTTCGAAGTAGAAGATGTGACATTAGTTTGAAAATACTTTTTTAATGTGGCAAATATTTGTCATCTCCCCAATGACGCAGTTTATGCGTCAACTAGCTTTCCCTCGTTGCCTACTATCTAGTCGCAATCCTTTTCTTAACCCTAATCATACTTAAGACATGGAATTGAACGCTTCTCATCCCAAAGTTAATAAATTGAAGAATGAGGAGGACTTTTTTTTGGCAAAGCAAGACTGATTAGTTCAACTATACGAATTGTCGAGCACTTCTTATGGAACCTTTTCCTTACTGTGATTGATTTCCCTTAATGTAGTATCCAAACATAATATATATCAAGATCAATAAAAACTTGATTTTAGATAATGCACATTTCTATTCTGTATAGCCTTTGTTTGGAAATATGGACCACATGTCCTCTATGCTACAAGAATGCAGAATTTTCATCCAGTGAAGCACCTTAATTGTAACATTGTAACGAATAATATGAAAAAATTCATAAAACGCACTATCGTGCTTCAATTTATATAAAAAATAAGATTGTTATACTATTCATCACTTGATGACCAAATTATATTATGATGCATGCAAATTTATAATTAGCAAAGATATCTTTAGGAAAAATTTATACCAAAGGGATTTCCATGGTATCATTTTGTGTTTAATTCGATTAAGGAAACTTTTTGTATCATTATTATGAGCTATCATTTAGTTAGTTATTTAAAAATGGAAGAATTTCGAAAATTTCTTTTCTCATTAATTTCTTTGAAATCGTAGGAGTGGTAAGTTGACCAAAATGTCATCCTCGTTTATAAATACATAGTAGTATATAAATATGTAATTTTTTTCCCACTGTCTAGCAGTACATTTCTAATTTTCGCTTCAAATATCAAAGTCGATATGTTGTTGATTGACCCTATATGTGATTTGAGTCCAAAGAACTAATTATTAAAGAATTAAGTAAGTTTAAATCTTTTAGAGCACAAAACTCATGAAATGAATTTAATGAATGAGAATGACTTATAATGTTCAATCACATACTTATATTGTGATCCATAAATAGATTACAAGTAAAGATAATTCTAGTAAGAAATTTATGCTAGAAAGAATACCTTCCATACCTTTAAGTATGATCCGATTAAGAAAATCTCTTGTACCATTATTTATACATCATCTGGTTCCCCAAATGTTTCATTCAAGAAGAAGAAATAAAAGGTTGACAAGTTCTTATCATGGCATCATCATCATCATCATCAACAATGGGAGAGAAGAAGATGTTGACACTGAAGAGCGGTGATAACGAAGAATTTTACCTTGAGGAATCTTTGGTCTTACAGTTTGATCTTATCAAGACCATTGTAAAAGAGGAACGAGTTTCCATCATCCCATTGCCTAGCATCAAAAGCAAGATGGTGGTTAAAATCATTGAATACCTCAAGAAGCACACGGAGCTCACTGCCTCGAACAAAGAAGACTTCAAGAATTTCGAGAAAGAGTTTGTGAATGTTGCCTTAGAGGAGCTGCTTGACATAACTGTGGCAGTAAATTATCTGAAAATTAATGGTTTGTTGGAATTCTGTTGTCAGGCTGTGGCTGATAGAATAAAGGACAAGAGCGTTGAAGCCGTTCAGAAGATTTTTAAATTTGAAAGTGGTTTCACCCCAAAAGAAGTGACAGAGTTTAAAAGGGAAATTCCTTGGGCCTTTGAAGGTGACCTTGATGATACAAAAAACTAGGGTTTTATGGTAGTGAAAGGGACATTTATATTTGATTTGAATAACCATATAAAATTGATTTCTTTCGTGTACCGATTTGGTGGATGTCTATTTGATTTTGAAATAAAGCTTTATGCTAAGAAAAAGGTAGAAACGAAAATACTATCTGATATAGTAAAGAGTGCTTGATTGTAGTTATCTATTCTTGAATACTAATAGCTACCTTTGTCTTCGTGTTGGTTCGAGTGATATTTGAGATTAATCATAATAGATCTGTTTCTTGTATCGAACTGTAACACCCCGTACATTCGGACTAGGTATGGATATGTTAAAAGGGTATTAATTTGATATTTTAGACATATGAAGTCCTAGCGGGATGATTGTGGGTAAAAATAGTTGTTTCTAAATCAAGATGGAAAGTGAGGTGTATAAGATTTGACAAAATCAACTATGTTTGCAGAAGGTCTGTCTTCCAGCAAGTTTTAGTGAAAATTTTAAGGAATTGGGGAAATCGCAAAGCATGAAAGTTGTAGGCCTTTGAAATAGCTTTCCAACGATATATTATGGAGCCCGAACGGATCTCTGTGCAAAATGTAATGCGCGTTTTACAGAACAGTACGCGATATGCGCGCCGGTAGCGCGCCTTAGCGCGGCCGCGCTAATTTTGAGGCAGTGTTACTGCCGTTTAGCGTGGTCATTAGCGCGGGCAAGCCTCCACTAGCGCGGGCGCGCTAGTGGGGGGTCGTTCTAAAGCTATATTTCGTCCTCCACACCCCCAAAACATAAAAACTTGCTCTAGAAAGTAAAGCTCTCAAAAACCTAACTCCTTAAGGGTCCCTCCACCACCCAAGGTAAGTTCTAATGGTGATTCTAAGTTAATTTCAGTTTCCCAACATCTTATTAACATGGGTAAACCCTCCATATCATTAGATATTCGATTGGGACATCATTGTTGAGGGAAGGAAGCCTAGAACTCGAATTCAAAGGGTTTGAACGTCAAAAAGGTAATATCTTCACCCTCTAATTGATTCTATCATTGAATTAATGGTTATAGACTCTAGTTCATGAGATATGAGTTGACGGGTTTGATAGAAAACGTGAACGGTTATAGGTTTGGATTGTTGATTGTTGATTATTGGTTAAGGGTGTTGATTACCTTATGGGTGATAAAGAATAATGTTGATTATAACCATTTGAGGCTTTAGAATTTATCTAGGAGCAAGGGAATGAGTTATTGGGTGTAGAGACACCATTAATAAGGACTATGAAGCTTTATGTCACCAAGTGTATGAGAAAATGCTTAAGTGACCAAAACATGAGAATTATTGCTAAATATGGAATCCCTTTGACTTGTATTGATATAGATTAAAGTTGAAAGGGATGACAAATGTTGTATTACGCTCAAGAGCAAGAAGTTAAGGTATGTGAGGCTAACTTTCTATGTTTGGGAATTTTAATGATTCTCCCTACATTACGTTTCTTTTACGACGTATCAATTGCCTCAAAAATATAGTTAAGCCTAGTTCCTTGAATAGTTGTAGAACTTCTATTTTCTAGCTTCATAACTCGTTCATGACTTTCATTTCGAACGTTGTGAGCTCAGTTCGTATTCAATATAGACTTGGGCTTGGTGTCCCTAAGTCTCAGTATAGCTTACTCAGCATGTCATAAACAGTCGAAGTTTCAGTATTCCAGTATTATGTAACTCAGTGTGATCCAGTATTCCAGTATTATGTAACTCAGTGTGATCCAGTATTCTAGTATCATGTAACTCAATGTGATTCAGTATTTCACTATCATATATTGCAGTATGATTCTCAGTTCCTGATTTTAAATCCCTGAATGTTGAACACTTGTATTTGGGCTTGAGGCCGCAGTTTATGCTTTATGCATCTTTGGGCCTGAGGCTGCAGTTTATGCTTTATGCACCTTTGGGCCTGAGGCTGCAGTTTATGCTTTATGCATCTTTGGGCCTGAGGCTGCAGTTTATGCTTTATGCATCTTTGGGCCTGAGGCCGCAGTTTTGCCTGAGGCCGCAGTTTATGCTTTATGCATTTTGGACCTGAGGTCGCAGTTATGTATACGTATACTTGGGCCCGAGCCGCAGCTTGTGCACATATATATATTGGGCTGAGGCCGCAGTTTAATATTCAGATAAACAGGTTGTTCATCATTCAGAAGAGGGAGTATTCATAACCTTACTTCCTTTATTCAGTTCAGTTATCAGTTATCAGTTATCTTTTCAGTTATCAATTCAGTTATCAGTTATCAGTTATCTTTTCGGTTATCAGTTCAGTTACCAGTTCTCACTTCAGTTTCAGTTTGAATAGTTATCATTTCAGTTATCAGCTTAGTTTCAGTTTCAACATTTATAATTGTTTCTTTCAGTTGCTTTACATACCAGTACAATTCAAATGTACTGACCTTCCTTTTGCCCCGGGCCTGCATCTCACGATGCAGGTAATGATTTACAGGTCAACGATGTAGAGCGCTAGGATTCTCGTACCAGCTATTTGGTGATCCCCAGTTCTTTCGGGGCATTATCATTACTTTACAGCCTGTCAGTATTTACAGATAGTTAGTGTTTTCAGTACTTCAATAGAGCCTTCATAGACAAGAGTAACAGCTAGACAGAGTCGCATGCTTTTCATATTAAGCTGTGTTGACTACAAATATGTTTAAGAATTGTGTTAGTTTTTCCGCACTTTGATTTATATCATCCAGAATTTTGTATATCAGCATG